TTTATTTGTCCTGCCTTATCTGCCTTAATTAAGTATCTGGGCTCTTCAGGGCAGGGAAGCTGTTTTTTAAGTCTGCAGCCCCGAACTCGACCAACCCATGCAGCAAGATAAATATTCTGCTGTTGTAAAAATAATATTTACGACTGCAGTTAATATGTCTGGCCCCATCTTTAGCGAAGCAGGAGGAAGATGCTCTGAAATACAGAACAAGTCAAAAGCATTTCTCTCTCTTAAGGAACAATAAAATAAAAACCAGCTGTTATTACTAAACAATATCACAGGGTGAGGTGTGACTGAACTGAGGTTACACCATGGTGAGTGGCTGAGTGTCTGCCCAGGTGCTGGTTCCACAGCAAAATCACGGCTTCAGGTTGCCCATTTGAGAATCAGCTTGAGGCATTGGAATTAAAGAGTCAAGACAACACCCCAGGGCTTTTAATAAGCAGTTTCTGGTCTATATAGCGCCCACCTGCATTTTTCTAACTCCTATTCCTTTTTTCTGAGTACTGTTTTTTTCATATTGCGTCCCCTTTGACTAGTATATATTGCATTTTTCACTATTTAGCAAACATTCTTCCAAAGTATTTGCCAAATATTTGGCATATATTTGGGCCATATTTGGCAAACATCGTGATTTCCCCCGGATTTTTAACAAACGCCCGATGCCCATTAGGGTCTTGTCGGCACGGAAAAATACAAATATTCACGGAACGAGGCAGGGTCAAAGTGCTGAGCCCGTGGGGCGGAGATAAGAACGGCTGGAAAAGGGGATCCGGATCCCCGTCCCCTCCCGTCCCCTCCCGTCCTCGGTGCTGCTCCCGGTGCTGCGGGAGCGCCTGGAGGGACCTGCGGGGTTCCAGTGCCACCTGCCGGGAACACCGCGCACGAACCACCCCGGGATGGGACCGGAGAGAGAAAAAGTGGCTCAGGGGGGACCTTATCGCGCTACAGAACTACCTGGAAACAGATTGTAGCCAGGTGGGGGGGATCAGTCTCTTCTCTCAGGTGACGAGTGATGGCACAAGAGGAAATGTCCCTGAGAGGTCTAGGTTGGGTATTTGGGAAGAATTCTTCACCAAAAGGGTTGTCCAGCCCTGGAACAGGCTGCCCCAGGGCAGTGGTGGAGTTGCCATCCCTGGAAGTGTTCAAAAACCACGTGGATGTGGTGCTCACAGACACGGGGTAACCTGGCAGTGCTGAGTTAATGGCTGGACTCGCTCTTGGAGGGCTTTTCCAACCTAAATGATTCTGTGATTCCAAGCTCATCAGGCTTTGTGGCTTCTGCCCAGCACCAATGACACTGAGCTGGGGGATATACACTCATCAGCTTGAGCAAACCAATTATGGCAGCAAAAAGTAGAAGAGAAAGGTGTGCTCAGGGCTGTGCTTAAACAGCTGAGTTATCCTAAAGCTGCAGCGTAAAAGTAGCCATCAAAGAAAAGCCCTATTTCCCAACAGCAGAGAAGAACACAGGCCCTGCGAGGCTGTTGGGTGCCAGAGAGATGCCACACTTCTCACTGCTTTGGTTTTAAAGAGGCAACTGCCTTTTTGACAAGTTCCATTATCCACTGTAAACACCGGTTTCGAGCTTCTCTCTAACTCTTCTTGCAGAAGTACATCTGTTCTAGCAAGCTGGGACAAATAATGGTGCAAACAGTCCTGTTTATGTGACTGTCCATGCAAAAAATAGCAGTTATTTAAAACATTATTAGACATTCTGGTTTTTGAAAGTATGTTTTTCGAAATTATTGAATATTAATTATACTTTGGAGACACAGGCAGCGGTGAAACACTGACTTCCTGGGTCCGAGGAAGCCACGTCAGTCATTAGGATGGACTTGAGAACCCTTATTTGGGTTTATACAGGAAAACCAACCCTGTGTACCTGATAGAGAGGCCACTGTTATTGCAGGAAGGGTCACTATGGTTAGTTTAAGGTCATTAGCATGTTTTGCTAATGCACTTACTACTCTGGAATACAGTAACTTTCTTTGCAGTCAGATCATCATGCAAGGAGAGCTATTTAAAATGACTATTCTGGTTTGTCCTCCATATTTACAAGCCCCAAATCCACGTGCTGTATCCATTGATGGCTCTGATCATCTGATCCCATAGTGTGACACTTAAATAAAAAGTAATTTGACTGCAAAAGGCTCTCCAGTGTTTAATTTAGCTGTATCCTGAATTCCACATTGCACAGAGGGGAGCGGATTTTCCGTGGCATCTGGACATTAGCCAGCAGTAGGGTCTCTTAAAGGAAAGGGACACACTTCAAGCAGTTCAGTGTTTGACATAAATCCATTGTGTCCTGACTATTTTCTTATTTGGTAGCTCTTAATCGTGAGAGTTGCAGACATGGTGCATTTGTGGGGTTTATTTTAGTAGCAGGATGTTGGCTGCATTTCAGAACATGGACATACATATCCAGAGAAAGCCCAGGGTAGCCATCTTCTGGGAATCTGCAATAAAAAAAGGGCTAATCCTGCTCTGCAGATGATGCAAGCCAACTGCAATCCTTCTGCTCTCAGCTGCTTTCTTCTGGATTCACATCAGCATCGCTGAGAACTGCACGGGGTCCCAGCTGCCAAAACCAGCTCCAGCAGGGCAAGCCATCTGCCTGCTCCAGCTGGTTTGGGGCCAGTCACACATTAACTCCTTTAAACAGGTCTGTGTTAAGGTGTCACCCTTCCAAAACGCTGCTCCAGATTCACTGGAGGTCTAAAACAGCTGAGTTCAAAGATGTTACACTCCGGTGGAATTTGACCCTTCAAATTCTTCTAACTGGTGTTGCAACCCTGTTAATATCCGGATTGCTGAGGGCAGCCTGTGCTACCTTTGACCCTCCTCATCGTCTGGGGGCTCCAGCAGATGAGCCCCACTGAATCCTGTCGGGCAGCTGGCAAGGTCCTTGTCCCTGTCACAGGAAGAGAAGGGCTGAATGTGGGGCCATCCAGCGCCAGGGCAGGGCTCAGCCTGAGAGTTTGCACAGATCCACATCCCCCTTGGCAGCTCACAGGCTCATCTGAGAGGGGGCAGGCTGAGCCAGCACTCAGTCTGTCCTGCCAGTGATGGGGGAGGCCTCAGGGTACATCAGACCAGGTCCTGGGGTGCCCATTCTGCTGCTTCCCAGCAAGATTGGGATTCACATGTCACCACAGAAACACAAAACAGCACTTCTGAAAGCAAACAGAGTTGGTTTCAAACAGCAGCAGCAAAACACAAGGAGAGGGATTTCAATCACAGCCCTTCTGTGTGTGTTTGGCTCTCTGGGGTCTAGCCCAGGACCTGGCTCCTGGGGCTGGGAGGTCACATTTCTCCCCCCAGCCTGAAAAGATACAGCTTTTTATTTTCAAAGTCCTTTTCCCCAGGTCTCTCCCTGATTCTCTCCCCACTCTTTGCCAGCCCAGGGTATTGATCTCAGCAGGGTCACCAGTAAACTTCAAAGGGACTCACACCTGCGCTGGTTGTTGAGGGACCATGAACGTCACCATCTGAGTCTTATCACTTCCCTCTGCCTCCACAGGAGATAACAGCACCTCAGGAACACTCTGGCCATCTCACAGCCGGGCTGGTGACAGTCACACCACCAGCCATGACACACCGTTTGCTGATAACTACTTCTGTTTCTTCATAGCTGCCCCTGCAGCACCATCCCACAGGCAGCACAGGCTCTGGCACATGCACCCAACACCTGCTGCTCTGCTGGCCACAGGGGAAGGAAGGACCATGGAGAGGGGCACTCTCTTGCCCTGAAACACCCCAATTTCATCATGGCACATAAAATCAAAATGACTGTGGCTATGACTCACCACTACTACTATATAATTTTTCATGATGTCACATCATACCTGAAGGAACAAGGTGAAAAGTTAAACATTAACAAGATTTTACATTTCTAAGTGGTGACACAACAGTTGTGAGGCACCAGAGCAGCATTTAAACAGCTGGAAAACCCAGCCCCACTTTCCACTGTAATTTTCCATGCATTAGCAATAGATTTGGTTACAGCTACTTGGTTACAAGCACCTGCACTTAGGTAGAATTTCACTCCTGTAACAACCCAAGCTCCCACCCAAACCAAAAACTCCTTCTTGCCAGGTGATGGGCAAACACAGCCATGGCCACCCCAGCCCAGCCATTCCAATCTCCACACCAGCTGCACCACTGGGCACCAGCTGGACCTGGGGACAATCCCAGGTCACCCTGCTCATGGGGTACTGGTGGGTGGATGGAGGAGAGGAGGAAGGTGCCCAGAGCCAGCTGCCCCCACTGTTACCATGATGCAGAGGGGACATTCCTTTGAACCGGGAGCATCTGTGCTCAGAAGTCCCTGCCTTTGAGAGACCCCTGTGTTGGAAGTCACAGCCAGCACGTAGGGGGTCCTAAGCCATCGCCCCACAGGAAGGTCCCCAGTCCATAGCCATCACCTGGGGGTCTCTGGGCTTCTGGTGAACCCCTGGCCAACACGTGTGTGGTATCCTCAGAGGGTCCCCATCCCACAGCCGATTAGCAGGAGAGCTGCAGATGTCAGTGAGCAAACGGGGGGGGGGGGGCCTTCTCCCCGCGCAGCAGGTCCCCAAACCCTGCACCAACACAAACGGGGTGTCTCCAGCCCACCTCTCCACCCCCTCCGGGAGTGTCCCCAACGCCCCCAAAACCCCACGGTGCGCTCCCAACACGTGTGTGTGCGTGGCGAGTCCCCATCCCCGCACACGTGGGCAGAGCGCGGAGGGGTGTGTGTGTGTGTGGGTGTGGGTGTGTGTGTGTGTGGGTGTGTGTGGGTGTGGGTGAGTGGGTGTGGATGTGTGGTGTGTCCCACTCCCAGTCGGCGCAGCTTCCCGGCCCCGAGCCGGATCACGGACACGACCCTACCGTGCCGTTCCATTCCGCTCCGAGCATCCCCCGCACCGCCCACAGCGCCGCGGCCCCGCGGGCGGGAGGCGGCCCCGGCCGTGCCCATAAGGCGGGCGGCGGGGCCGGGCGGGGCTGGCGGTCGGTCCATGGCGGCGGGGGCGGCCGTGCGGTGCCTGCGGGGCGCCCGGAGCCTCCTGCCCGCGGGCGCCCGGCGGGAGTGCTGCGAGTTGGCCAGGCTGGCGGGGCCCGTGGTGAGAGCCGGGGCGGGGAGGGACGCGGGGGACACACGCGGGGGACACGGTGCCCTCCCGCTGGAGGTGCTGGGCCGGGGGATCGCGGCGGGGGCTCGGCCACCCGGAGCCGGGCAGTGCCCAGCGGGATGCGGAGCAGAGAGACCTCGGGCCCGGCTGATCCCGGGGATGAGCCTTGACCTCCTCAGCCTCCGGGCACGGCTCCGCGACCGCGGATATGCCCTTCGCCCGCGACGGGGCCAACCTGGTCCCTCCGCGGCTGCTGCAGGCACAGCCAGGGTTAAACCGCCACCCGTCGTTCCTTGCCTGGCGCCCAGATGCTTATTCTTCGCCCCAGGAGCTCCTGTTGCTGCCCGGCGTGGTCCCTGTGCCCTGCGATATGGCTGTGGAAGAGGAGCGGTGGGCTCGGGGTGTGAGGGGGATAAGCTGTTAAACTGCTCTGTGGAACGAGGCTGCAGCCCCGGCACTGCCACGTTACCCTTGGGTGACAAGCAAATCTCTTTGCTTAGTGTCAGCTCCTTGGCCAGCCCTTGCAGCAGGCTCTGGGTGCAAAGGTACCTTATAACTCGCTGTCCTGAAGTCCTCCCTGGACTGAAACTAGAGGTTGATGCACCCTTTGGAGGGAGATGCACCCTTTGGTAGTCGGCACAGACAGTGCTGAACGCATTTTGCAGAGGTTTCTGCAAGGGGAAGCACCTTCTGCTTTATCTGGTAAATAACTGCCAACTGCTAAACTCAGAGACACCCTCCCTGACATCAAAGCACTGACTTGCTCAGATCGGTCAGCAGGGGAAGTACAGGCTGGTTTCAGTTTCTGTAGCTGGACACAACAAGCCCCCTCAGTCCCCTCAACTGTCCCACCTGTGGCACAGTCTGTGTTCCTCCATGTGCACAGACAACCTCAACCCCAAACCTGCAGCTGCTGTCAGTTACTGATCATTTCATGTCAAACCCTGTGCTGGGGTGGGCGTGGAGGTACAGACCAGACCCTCCTGTGGGGATTACTCACAGCAGCAGGTCCAGCGTGGCTGGGCCTGGCAGCAGGACTGGACCTGCAGGCAGCAGTAGGAGGTCTGCAGAGGAGAAGGGTTTGTTCTGCTCTTCCTCTGACCCCACAGAGCTGGTTCTCCAGCGGTGCTGGGCTCTTGGCTTGTCAACTGCTGAGTGGGAAGCAGCACAAGCAGACCCTGGGCATGGTTTCCAGTTATACCCACCCCTCAGTGGGTATGAACATCTCTAACACCTACCATCTGTTTTGAGCTGTGCCACAACTCTGTGCCCTGGACACCTGTAGAAGGGACATCCTCTTACCAAGAGAAAATGAGGTTTAGAGTGCAATCTCTGCTGCAGCATCGTTGCACTTTGCTGTAGGCCCTGGAGAGAAATACACAGAATGGCCTTGGCGTATCTCCAGGAGGAGAGGATGTTGTGGTTTTGGAGGATAGTTTTCCACAGATGCACGCAAATGTGAAAAAAGCATTGGGATGTTTTATTTTTCCCCTCTCTGCAACCTTCATCCTGGGAAAGAGGATTTCTAGTGAAGCCGTTAAGCCTCCCATAGATGAGGTCATCTGGCAGATTGGCTGTGTAACACCAAAATACTGCAGGGCAGGTAGATGTTTGCTTTGAAACACAAAGCCACTGAGAGCCTGGGTGAGTCCCAGAGCTGCCTCCCACGCCCCAGCAGTGTTGGCAAGCAGGGACAGGTTCCCAGGACAGCAGAGCCCTGGCCTGGAGGCATAGACCAAAACACCAGGAAACCTGGCTGTTCATAGGCCAGCTCCTGGGGGAGGGCTGATGTTCCACAAGCCCTAATGGGTCCTCATCTCACCATTTCCTTCTCCTCTCATCCTAGTTCCTCTCCCAGCTGCTGGGGTTCCTGATCAGCGTGGTCAGCTCCATCTTCTGTGGCCACCTGGGGAAAGCTGAGCTGGATGCCGTGTCACTGGCTGTGTCCGTAAGTATCACTCCAATTCCCCTCAGATTTAAAACACACAAATTAGGTATTCCAAAAAAAAAAAAAAGAAGAAAAAGCCTCAAACCTGTAGGAACGTACATGTGAGGGCCCTGTGCATCAGCACAGCCTGATGCAACGCAGACATCCCACCCACCAAAATGTTCTTCCTTTTGCCCTGAGCACAGGCAGGAGAGGGGAGCTGAGCAGGCAGTGCTTGTGCCAGTGCAAGGCCCGAACCTGGGCAGGGAGCTGGAGCCTCTGACCAGCTCTCTGAACCCACCAGACCTGAGCATGTGGCTGGGAGCAGCACTGTTTGTGGTCCTTTAGATACTCGCCCCTTCCTAGAGGATCCTTTTCCCCAGCAGAGGGGAGAAGAGGCTATTTAGTTAACAAGATTTGTTATTCTGAGAAATAGAGAAGGGCTGGAAACTTCCCAAAAACTTGTAGCAGAACTGTCTACCCACCCAGCTGGGAGGGACTCAGTGCTCTGGGCCAGAATCCCTGTCTCTCCTCCAGGTTATCAACGTGACAGGCATCTCCATCGGGTCTGGTTTAGCCTCAGCATGTGACACCCTGATGACTCAGGTCAGTGGCAGCTCCCCCTTTCCTGTGCCTGATGGGGTTTACCTGGTGCTGTCTCGCCTCCTGTGCAGTGTGATCTGGGGACAAAGAGCAGGGAGGTGGCAGCTTCCAGACAGAACAGGGTTACAGACACCCTGGCTGGAGCCTGCTCCCTCCTTGGAGCTCCCCCAGGGAGCTGTGGGTCCCTTTGGGTAGCAAAGGGATGTGCAATCCACCTGAAGGGCAGTGACACCCAACCAGCCTGGCATTCACCACTGCAGGACGTGGGAAATGCATTTAATCAGCCTGTTGTTGCCCTAAGAGTTTGCCCAGACCCTTTGGCTCCCTGAGACCCCCACCTTGGTCCTCTCTCTCCTCGCTCAGACGTATGGCAGCAAGAACCTGAAGCAGGTGGGCACCATCCTGCAGCGGGGCACCCTCATCCTGCTGCTGTGCTGCTTCCCTTGCTGGGCACTCTTCATCAACACCGAGCAAATCCTCCTGCTCATCCGACAGGACCCCGAGGTCTCCAGGTCAGGGGTGAGATCCAGCCCTTCTGGATCGGGACTTTTTGCTGTGGGTGGGTTGCTCTGTAGTGTTGAAATCAAGCCTCTCTGGAGCTTGAGCACAACGCTGTTTGGCTTGGCTCTTACTTTGCTGTAATACTAACTGGGGAAACAACTCTCTTTCCAGGTTAACTCAGGTCTACGTGATGATCTTTATTCCAGCACTTCCTGTAAGTCTCTGCTAAAGCTGTTAGAAGCTCTGTGTCCCTTAGTAACATGAAGGAAAGGAGGGAGGGCCTTTGCTGTGTGGCTCACAGGGCAGGTTTAGGGTTTTACAGTGTGTCCCTTGACTTTGTGCCTTAACAGATGTGCATTGCCCAGCAGCTGCTGGACCAGCAAACAGGGGGTCTCTGATCTTCCTGTGCAAAGGCTTTTGCTGTGGCCACACAAGTGGTGGTGGAGATTGGAACCAGGGGCTCCCAGCTCACTGTTAGCTCCAAAATGAAGGCTGGAGCTTGCTGTTCACACACTCACAGCTGCTGGGCTCCAGCTGGTTACTCTGACTTCTCTAAGGCAGGGAACAGTATCCCTGTGGAATAAGGGTCTGTAGGTTTATCCTTTCTTCTAAGCTTTCCAAGCTTTCTCAGGCTGATGGGGAAGCATAGGAGATTTCCCGTCTGGAAACTGATCTCTCTTCCCAGTGGGAATGGGAGGTGCCTTCTGTTACTCTTTTGGGTGCAGTGCTGGCAGGTGCCACACTTCAGCGGGAGCACTGGAATGGGGTGTCGGGCAGGTGCTGGCTGGGGCACCCCAAGATGGTGGTGAGGGGACTGGTCTGTCAGTGTTCAAGGGTTGTTGAACCACGGTCTGATGATGAACTGAATCCTGACTCTTGCAGGCGGCGTTTCTGTACCAGCTGCTGACAAGATATTTACTAAGTCAGGTATTGTATAACCAGCCAGTTCTGGGCTGTACATTAAAGGTATTCCCAGGAACATGGATAAAGTTGGGGATCTGAGTTCATCCTGTTCTTGGGAGAGCTGGGCTGAGGAATGTGTGATGCATAGCCCCCCAGCTGGCCCTGGGAGAGCTCATAGGAACCACCCTTAGCTGGCTTCATTTCCCTATGGCTACTTCCCAACTCTGTTTTATGGGTTGCACCAGCTCCTAAGCCCTGCATGTCTAACACAGCTCAGCCTTACCTGGAACAGGAGCTGCCTTCTTGGCTTTCTCCTTGGGCACTGTTGAAGTTCTCCCTTGTGTTCACTGGATGGGGCTTGGGCAGCACTGGGGAAGCAAACTCCAAAGTCCCTCCTTGGCTTCCAGGCGATCATTCTGCCTCTGGTGTTGACCGGGATTGCAGCCAACATCCTCAACGTGGCCATGAACGCCTTCTTCCTCTATGCACTGAAGCTGGGCATGGTGTAAGTGTGGGCAGGGGTGGTCACAGTCTCTCCCTGCGTGCTCAGGGCTGGGGGGGTGTCCTGGGTGCCCAGTTCTGCCACCTTCTGTCCCCAGACAACCAGCCTGCAAAGATGAGGCTGGAGGGAGCAAGGCTTGTGTGGTACAAGGCTTGAGCAAGACCCACTGGATCTCTCCTGCTGTAGCTGAGGAGATCGGGAAGGATGTCACTTGTAACTTGCCTGTCTCTCTCTGCAGGGGCTCTGCTTGGGCTAATACTGTTTCTCAGTACACCCAGGCCATCCTCCTCTTCCTTTACATGTGGTGGAAGAAGATCCATGTGAAGACCTGGGGAGGTACTGTTACAGTTTAATCCTTCAGAATACCAATGTCTGACCCTGGGAATTTGGCACTGTCACCAGCATCTGACAAAGGGATTGTCATCCCCTCACAGTGGGAAGATGCTGAAGTCATGTCCTCAAGGCCTTTACTGTAGCTCCAAATACATTCTTGTTGAATATCCTGTCTCAGGAATGCAGCATGGCACAGCAGCAATCCCAGGCAGGTGTCCTGTGAGCTGCAGTGATGGTTGTCCTCTGAGAGTGTCCAGAAGAGCATATGGTTCCCCTTTGGGGATGGAGAGGGAGAACATGTGTTCATTTTGCTTCATGTCCTCCTTGCAGGTTGGAGCAGGGACTGCCTCCTGGACTGGGGCTCCTTCACCTCGCTGGCAGTGCCCGGCATGATCATGATGTGCATTGAGTGGTGGACCTTTGAGATTGGGAGCTTCTTGGCTGGTGAGTCCAAATCTTCTTTTTCCTGTGGTTCAACAGGCTGCCTTACAGCTGTGCCTGCTCTGGTGGCTGCTTCTTGACTGTGTCCCCAGAGCTCCTCCTGCCAGCAGCTTCCTCACCTACAGGACCAGGTCTGCCGGACACTGCAGGTGTTCCCATCCATTCAGTGGGAACCCTGTAGTCGCTGCCTCCTTGTCAGCAAACAAAGGAGGTGATGAATCTTTTCCAGGGCTGCTCAGTGTGGTGGAGCTGGGTGCACAGTCCATCATCTACGAGCTCGTCTGTGCTGCCTACACGGTAAGGGCTGGGTGTGGGAAACCCCAAACAGCCTGGGAGCAGCCCCCAAACAGTGGCTCTGTGGTCAATCTGAGGTGGGAACAGGGGGCAGTACCAGGCAGATGATGCCTCTCAGACCTGCCACAGCAGCTGCACATCCAAGTGTGCTGCAGATGGAAAATCCCTTTACTGCAGCCATGCCAGTTTGTCCCAAATTCCCCTCTGGAGAAGAAAAAAATTGCTGCAGGCTCTGTTGTCACTGCAGGCTCTGCTGCCACTCACCTCCTCTTGTCTCCTGCTACTCAGGTGCCTCTGGGCATCAGCGTGGCTGCGAGTGTCAGGGTGGGCAATGCCTTGGGATCGGGGGATGTGGTGCAAGCCAAGACCTCCTGCATCACTGCACTGCTGTGCACAGGTGAGCTCAGGTCCTGCAGAGGGGAATGAAGGGCAATTATTAGCACATAGTTGAGTTCTCACAGGGCTGGGGACCTCCCATAGGAACCCAAACCCCACTTGTTTGGACCCCTCAGGCAAGGCAAGATCCTGACTGCTCTTTTCTGTTACAAGCCTGGTGCAAAGGCTTTGGTAGTTAAAACTGCAATTTAGCGTTCTGCCCTCCCCCTCCAGAAGGCAGAGGGAGTATCTGGGGAGAGCTTGAGGAAAACAGACTTGTCCTCTGCTGCAGTATCACTTGGAGGTCAGCCAAGTCCAATTCCCATCACACGAAGCCTTTGAGGTCTGGACCTGGATTGGGAGCAGGACATGCTGCCCTTGAAACAATGTGACTATTTCTTTTTCTTCTCAGGAGTTATTGCTGTGCTGGTTGCAACCTTACTGGGAAGCCTAAGAGGCGTGGTGGGATACATCTTCACCAATGACAAGTGCGTTAACAGCTTTCTCTTGCATATTATCACCTTCTTGGAGGGTGTTATTTATATCCTAGAAGCTGCTGACAGATAAGAGTTCATAAACCTCCACCTGGCAAACATGTTCCCAAAGGTTCCTCCCCGTTGCCCTGAAGCACGGAGGTTTTTGACACTGGGATGCTACCCTGGTAGCAGGCTGGGATCAGAGAACTGGGATCAGCCTTTGCAGCTGGCTGAGGGAGATATGTGAGAACCAGAGTCCTGGGTGCTGCTTGCCCTGATCAGTACATACATCTTCCCAACAGGGAGGTCGTTAACTTGGTGTCCAAAGTGATGCTCATTTTTGGTCCGTTCCACTTGTTTGATGCGACAGCAGTGAGTATTCCAGCGTGTGGAGCGATTCCTCCCTGCAGGCTGGGGTGCTGTGGAGGGTGCAAAGCTGCCTGTAGCTCACTCTTGACCTGTTAAAGTGATACAGAGAAGCCAACTGATAAGCTGTCAAGGCAGCTGATTGTGGTACCTCGGTGTCCCCTGTGCTTGTAGTTGTCCCTTGGCATCGTTGCAAACAACCCAGTTTTTCCTCCTTTTTTCCCCTGGCAAGGCTCCAGATTTTTACTGTCTTATCAAAGCAGCACAAGTGAGCAGCTGGGTGTTCAGAGATATTGTGTGCTCCCAGCATATTGGGAATGCTCATAAACTCATTAGGTAGTAATTTTGACCTGTTTCCTCCTGTTGTGTCCCGGGGAGAGGGACCTGGGCAGCATGGGAAGCTCTGTGGGGTCTGCTGGTGGTGCCTGTTGGTGTCAGCAGCTGGAGCAACAGGAGCCCCACACTGTGTGCTCCAGGACGTGGCTTTGCTCTCTCCTGGCTTTGCAGTTCAGTGCTGTGGGTTCTCCTGTTCCCAGGGCCGTGCCAGGCCCCAGGTCTGCTGTGGTGGTACCTGACAGGGATCCCTCTGCCCGCCCTCCTTAGGGGACCTGCGGGGGAGTGCTGCGGGGCACCGGGAAGCAGAAGCTGGGTGCCATCGCCAACGCCGTCGGATATTACACCGTGGGCCTGCCCATCGGCCTCTCACTGATGTTTGCAGCCAAGATGGGGGTCTTGGGTACGTGTGTCCTCCACCTGGCACTGGATGAGCTGCCTTGAGCAAAGGCCCAGCCCTGGAACTCGTGCCGGGATCTTCCTGTGGATCAGTGGGGCTGGGTTGCACGTTGGTGTGTTTGAGGCAGGCGCTGAGACCCCCCATCATATGGGGGTTGAGATGTCCCAATAAATCCAGGCTTGCTCCCAGCTCCCCTAGGAGCTGTTTCCTTTCCCATCGAGACTGGGTTGGACGTGGGGCAATACTCTGACCCCACTGAGGTCCCTGGGCATTGTGGCAGTAGCTGACAAAGGCAAGTTTTTCTCAAGCCCTCCCTGAAGTAACTTCCCATTGCTGCAGGTCTGTGGGTTGGGATGATCATTTGCATCTCTGTGCAAGCCCTTTCCTTCTTGGCTTTTGTCATCCGCATGGATTGGAAGAAAGCTGCAGAGGAGGTGAGACTTGTGCTTCTCTCTGGTAACACTTGCAAGGTGCTGGGTGAGTTCCTGTCCCAGTACAATGCAACAGCCCCCTGCGAGGAGGCAGAAGTGAACTGGGATCTGTCCTTCTCCTGTAGCAGAGGAGCAATTTGGTGCTGAGCATGCTTGTCTTGGGAGAGTGAAGAGTTTTCTGGGCTGGGCAGGACACCCTTGCCCTGAGAAGAGCAACTCTTCCCTGTGTTTTTAGGCTCAAGTCCGAGCTGGAACAAAAGTACAACTGGAAGATGTGAACTCCAGTGGCACAGCTGCTAACAAAACATCTGCTGTGGGTATGTAACCGGGCCTGACACCGAGGTGGGAGCCCAAATTCTCCACCCAACCCCTTCCTTTCCTTCCCAGTCGTGGCAGCCGTGTCTGTCCTGCAGGCTCAGATGGCTGGAAAGAGCACAGTGCCTGGTGCTGGTCCCAGGTCTGCCCTTAGTGACAGCGTACAAGATACCCTGTCACCGTGCTGGCTGCTCCAGGGAAGAGCCTGGGCTGCCAACCCATGTCTGCCTCACCTGGGGGCAGCTGCCACTTTGCTGGGGCATGTCCTAGTGTCCCAAGCCTTGGGAAATGACCCCCAGGACTGTCACTGGCTCTTGTGTAGCATCAGGCTGGAAGCCCCTGACTTGGCAGCTGGGCTTTCCTGCAGCACTGGCCTCTCTGTCACACAGATTACACCTCTGTTGACACGGACACCATGGACACCGTGGCCCTGCCTGAAAACATCGTGGTGGGCCAGAGGCAACCTGACCACGAGCTCATCACACAGGAGGAGCCCGTTGTTGTTGTTGTCCCTGCTCCTGGTGCCATGACGTGGAGGGCCCTGATCCTCCGCCGTGTCCTGGCTGCTGCTGCTGCTGTGGCTGTCCTGCTGGTGGGCATCCTGGTCCGGCTCCTGACTGGCAATGGCTAGAGCCAGTGACACTGGGGAGTGTGCACAGAGCAGGAGGGCACGTGGTGATGTCCCAGGAGGATGGTGCGGGGAAGGAATTCCCCTTCGCTTCTTTACAAAAAGTACCTTTGCTCAGTTTCTGGTTAACTCACAATGTTTTGTCCCACAGTCAGAGTTCTTAGAGGGGGTGAAGATGTGGCACTTGGGAAAAAAAGTGCTTGAGAGCTGGTTCCTCTCCTGTGTTGCACTGGGATGTCACTCGTGATAGGCAGGAGCGTATCCTGGGGCTGACCCTGGGAGGAGACAGGGTCCTTTTGCTGCTGTCCTGCCCCCTGAGGGCATTTGTCCATATCATTTGCTAATGGCAGGGGCTCCTGCTGCCCACAGCACATTTCCTGGCCTGTGCCAGCATCTTGCCGTGGCAGAGCCCACTTGCAGCTGCTGTGGCAGCGCAGGGCAAGGTGGATTCAGCTGGAAGATGTCTGGCTGCCATTTGGGTGCTGGCTGCTGGCCCCTGGCCCTGCTCCCCCTGTGGCGGGGCAGGCACAGGGCCTAAAGCAACTCTTCTTTGCACTTTCGTAAGGTGGGATTTTGATACAATAAAGTTTTCTGAGTAAATGTTGGGCTGTTTAATGTGGTGTGTGCATGACCCTGGTCATTGGCATGACTGTGCTGTTAAGAGGAAAGACATGGGTCTGGTTTGTGCAGCCTGACAAAGCCTCAGGCTTCTGGCCCTGAGGTTTGGGGCTGGCTCTGGTTATAGTGTTATCACTCTACTCCCCTCGAGTACAAAAGCAGGGTTTGTGCTCCTCAATGGCCTTCTGCACCATTGAGTGCCAGGGAAGAGGGTGGATGTGTTGCACAGCCCTCCAGAACCACCAAAGAACTGCCATATGTCATAATGCAACCCCCCCATCCCTGCCTGCCCTCAGCACTGGGTCCCTCCACCCCTGTCCCAGGCTCTTATCCACAGCTGAGTGACTGAGACGTGGCACATGCTGGGCCCTTGGAGGTAAATCCCGTGCAGAGCAGATGAATGGCACCTCCCTGTCACCCTGGCTCGGGGTGCTGGTTACCTGTGGGCTGGGAATGAAAAGATGTGATATAAACGAGCTTCAAACTGCCATCATCCCCAACACCCAGGGCCTCTACCCAGCTGTGGGAGGTTGTGGCAGACTCTGCCCTGCTCAGAATCCTGGGAGGTTTGGGATGGGAGGTCTCGCTCTGCCCCATGAGCTACCCCAGCCCACCTCCTGCTCCATGCAGGAGCAGGTCTGAGCTGCAGAGCAGCTCCCTCTGCCTGCCTCCCCCGTGGGCCAAGGACACTATATTTGGCCTGGGGGAGCTGTGCCAGTGAAACCCGACACGGTGGGGCTGTGCCAGGCCGACAGCTGGGGCCAAGGGGGCCGGCTTCTCGTGGTCACTGCGATGAGAGGGGCCGAGACAGGCAGCGGCCCCACCACTGCCGGCAGCAGCTCACCAGAGACCACACACAGATCCAAGAATCCTCCATCGCTGCTGGAAGAGGAGGACAACCCTCCAGCCCACTGGCCAGCAGAGCTGTGGTGAAGCAGGAGAGAGGTACGAGGGCTTGCAGGGCAGATTTGGGATGGCTCAGCCCCTATGCTGGCTCAGGGCAGGCAGTAAGTGCCTTGCCGGGCTCCACTGCGCTGCCAGGACCCTCTCTGGGCTCCCCAGCTCCGTGCCCTGCCCTGACCCACTGCCCACACTTCCCATCAGCAGCAGGGAACGTGTGGTCGGATCATCCGGCCCCGGCTGAAGTTCACCCCACCGTGGTTACACATTGCTCACCCCACCGTGGTTTAACAGAGCGCGGAGGGAGGGGTTGTTCCACTCCCCTGGCAGAGCAGCAGCATGAAGCCGGAGAACCTTCCTGAGGAGAATGGCAGCACAAAGACAGAGAACCTCCCCGAGGAGAACAGTGAGGCAGCTGCCGCTGGCCAGGACAATCTCACACCCGGGAGCTGCGAGAAGAAACGCCACTGGATTCAGCGCCTGGTCCCAGATAACTTCTGGGAGGACGTGAAGAAGCTGCTGGTGCTGGCAGGGCCGCTGGTAAGGACCTGGGAGGAGAGATACCCCCCCCCCTTCCCAGTATAACCACCCCTGCTCACCTCTGTCACTAACCTTCGCCTCTCCTCTCCTCTCCTCTGTGCTTAGATCCTGATCCAGCTGCTGATCTTCCTGATACACCTCGTTAGCTCCATATTCTGTGGCCACCTGGGCAAGGTTGAGCTGGCCTCCGTCACGCTGGCCATTGCTGTAAGCATTCCCAGAGCCAGGCACGAGCTCCCCTCTGCCCCGCCGACGCTGGGATGGGATAAAGGAATGGCAGCAGAAAAGGACAGGAGATTTCAGATTGCCACTCTTCCTTTTAACCCCTCTCCCTACCTGAAAGTCTTAAATGCTCACCTTCACTCTTTGTTTTCTTGACTCCCGTTCCCAGGTTATAAATGTTACTGCCATCTCTGTAGGTTATGGTCTGACTTCGGCATGTGACACCTTGATATCACAGGTGGGTAAGACACGCTGGCACTTGTCTTGGGGACACGGGGGTTTCCAGCATCAGCTGATGATGCCCCATGGAGCCCTGGCTGTTTCTGCGAGCTGGGAAAGCTTGTCCCTGGGTAGCAATCTCATACTCCAAATCCTTCCTGGGTGGTCTTCAGGGTGGTCAGGGCTGCTCTGTGCTCTGTGGGGTCCCTATCCCCCAGCACCAGCTGACTTTACCACTGCCCTCTTCGCCTTGCAGACCTACGGTAGCAAGAACCTGCTGCGGGTGGGGGTGATCCTGCAGCGTGCCACCATCATCATCCTCCTCTGCTGCTTCCCTTGCTGTGCCATCCTCATCAACATCGAGCAGTTAATGCTCCTCATCCAGCAGGATCCCGAGGTCTCCAGGTGAGGTGGTCCCATGGCCTCTTGTCCTTCCCCAGCATGGTGGGGCTGAGAGGAGGGTGGCCATGGCCCTGCCCCTCCCTAACCCTGCCTCTGTGTGCCCCCAGGTTAACCCAGCGCTATGTGATGGCGTTTGTCCCTGCTCTCCCGGTGAGTCCCTGTGGGCACCCTGGATGCCATCCCACTCCTACTGCTCAGCACTGGCTCATCTCATCCACCGATTTCCTTTGCAGGCGGTTTTTCTGTATAACCTGGAGACAAGATACCTGCAGAACCAGGTAGGTCCTGAAGTCCTCACACCCAGGAAGGGTCAGCCCTGGCTCAGTGCTCCCTTCCACCATGAACCCAGGGTTTCCATGCTCACCATTCCCGGCAACAAGGCAGCATTTGTCCCCACCACTGCCCAGGTGCCCCAAAACAGCTCTAACCCCGTAGATCACCCCACCCCACAGCCAGGTGTATCCATCCACCTCCCTTCATACTTCCCCACATCAGGGATTTACCTCCAACACATTCGTTTTCCAAGCAGGCAACGTCACTGGAAGTTTATTTTTTGCCTGGGAAAGGCGCTGAGCCCGGGTGCTGGCGGGGACCTTCACACCTCCCTCCCAGAGCCTTTGTGAAGACACCGTAGCCCCATCCCCTCTTCTTTGCAGATGATCATGTGGCCGCTGGTGCTGAGTGGAGTCATCGGCAACATCGTCAACGTGGCTGCAAACTGCATCTTCCTCTACGTGTTCCACTTCGGCATCACGTGAGTTGCACCTGTGTCCCATGGAGGGGACAATGTGGCACCTGGCAATGGCAAGGGAACACCGAGCATCTGCTGCTCAGAGGGGCATGGCAGGACGTCATGTCCCAGCACCCTGAGGCCAGGGAGGCATAAGCAGGATGGAGACAGACCTTTCTCACTTCCTCTGCAGGGGCTCTGCCTGGTCCAACACCGTTGCTCAGTACTCGCAAGCCATTTTCTTGTTCCTGTACATCATAGGCAGGAAACTCCACGTGAAGACCTGGGGAGGTGAGGGCATCCCCCCGGCTCCCTCTGGTTCACGCTTTACCCAGGTGTCCATAAAACTTCCACCACTTCTATCAAGCGTTCCTGATAGAAGACAAACTCTGTTTGTCCCGATGGTGAAATATTAACCCCAGCCCCACGCTCCCCGGGTACCACGGAGCTGCTTCGGTGGCAGCACGTCATGCACGAGCGCTGGCAGGGTCCTTGCTGGGCACTAAACATTAATTCTGGAGAAATGAAACTTCCTGCTGAGGCTTTCAAGGGTTCAGCCCCAAAGTCGGATGAGCACAGACGTAAGCACGAGGTTGCCCTTAGACACTCTGCTCTGGGAGGGATGGGCTGAGGGTTGTGCTGCCCTGTGGCCCACAGGACAACATTGGACAGTGTGTAGGTGGAGCTCTGCTGCTGGAGGTCCTGTGGAGCTGAGGAGCATTGCCCTGGTGGCTGTGAACAGGAATGGCACCTCTACCTGCCTCAGGTGCTCTCCAGGGTGTAACACATGTCCAGTCTGGTCATCCATTAGGTGATGTTTCTCCTCTCTGCAGGCTGGTCCAGCGAGTGCCTGCTGGAGTGGGACAGCTTCACCTCCCTGGCCATCCCCAGCATGCTCATGATGTGCATTGAGTGGTGGACCTATGAAATCGGGAGCTTCTTGATAGGTCAGTGGAGAGAGGAGCTTCCAGGAGATGACCCAGAGCAGCGCCCACAGCAGCTGCAGGGGCTGAGAGCAGCTCTCCCCTGGGCACCCACAGCCAGCACTGACCCCCTTCCTCTCCCCCAGGCCTGCTGAGTGTTGTCGAACTCTCCGCCCAGTCCATCATCTATGAGGTGTCTGTCGTTGCTTTCATGGTAAGGACTGGGGTTATTGTTACAGATCAGGGCTCCATGGGGACCATCCCGAGACAGGCACCCAGCAAAAATCAGCTCCAGCAAACCTCCATCTTCCCCCTCTGCACTTAAGCCTCTCCCTGCTCCTGCCTATCCCTGCCTCAAATCAAATCCTGAACTCCATCCCCCTCTCTGCTGGGTCGTTACTCCACTGTCACTGTGACAGCCCAGTTACCCAGACACACACACGAGCCTCAGCCCTGTGGTTGCAGATCCCCCTGGGGCTCGGCACAGCTGCCAGTGTGCAGGTGGGGAATGCTCTGGGTGCTGGAGACTTCGAGACGGCCAAGAGATCCTCCACCACCAGCCTGCTCTGCACAGGTCAGTCCATGACACGCTGGGAAGCCTCTGCCTTTGGGCTCCTTCCAGGCAGAGCAGGGGCAGGGACCATTTGCCACTTCTCCCACTGCTCTCTCCCTTCAGCAGCTCTGCATCATGGCCAGGCTGGGCTCAGCACTTTGCTCTGTTTCCAGGGGCATTCTGCATAGCCGTGGGGATCATTTTAGCCTCCACGAAGAACGTGCTGGGATACATCTTCACCAAGGACAAGTGAGTGCCCCCGGCTCCTGGCCTCGGTGCACGGAGGTCAGTTCCCAAAAGTGATCATTGCCTTGTCTCTGTCCCCAGGGAGATCGCTGACTTGGTGGCATGGGTCATGCCTGTCTACGTTGTTTTCCACTTGTTTGAAGCCACAACTGTAAGTCCCAGGGAATACTGCTGTTTTCCATAGGGCACCTCGGTGCTGAGCAGTAGCATCGTGGGTCGGTGGGTCGAGGGTCCAGGTGAGCACAGGTGCCCAAACTAGAACCCTGCAGGGATCCCAGGATCATCCCTTAGAAAATACAGTGTATAAAGAGATGGTGACCCACAGGACTGGCCAGGGACAGAGAAATAAGGGGCAGAGATGGGGAGCTGGTTCATCTACAGGAAGCAGCACAGCCCTGAATTCAGCCGAGTTGGCAGTCCCTGCCCCAGCCCCTCTCCCTCTCCCTGCAGGGTGCCTGTGCGGGGGTGCTCAGAGGCATCGGGAAGCAGAAATTCGGAGCCATCCTCAATGCCGTGTGCTACTATGGTGTGGGCCTGCCCCTGGCAGCTGTGCTGCTCTTCGTGGCCAAGATCGGCGTCATAGGTACTGACCCCTGGGCACGCAGCTCTGCACGCCCCCAAATCCCCCACGGGCACAGGCAGCTCCCCCCAGCTCCACTGATGGCTCACCATGACCCTGCCTCGGATCTGCCCTCCCTCGGATCTGCCTGGGGACAGGGCACGCTGGGCTGGGCTGGCCCCCTGCAACTGCTGAGAGCTTTTACTCATACTGGGAAGAAGTAACTGCTGCCAGGTGTGCCAGGCAGCCCTGCAGCAGGCACCCATGACCACCCCATCCCTGTGTCCCTGCTGACCTTGGTGCCATCCCTGTCCTTGACCTGCTGTCCCGAGATGCTGTCTCCGTTGGGTTTATCCCAGCTGACACTGGCATGCCCTCTGCAGGCCTGTGGCTCAGCATGCTCGCCTGCGTCTTCATCCTCTGCACCTGCTTCATCATCTACATCTCCCGCATGGACTGGAAGAAAGCAGCTGAGAAGGTAATCCAGGCACTGCCAGCACCGTGCCCTGCCAGCAGGAAGGTCCTCAGTGCCTTGGCTGTGATGGCACTGGGGTGAGACAGCAGCACGGGCTCAATCTCACGGCCTGTGCTGTCCTCCAGTGCCCTGAGCTAAACCCAGTGCTCCCATGACTCACATCCCAGTGTTCAGCTCCCTCCTGCACATGCACTCAGTGGCCTCAAGGTCTCCCTCTGTGCCTGCTGCCACCACCTGGTGCCACCCTTGGCTGGGGGACATGAAGCACAGAGCACTCAGCCCTTCAGCCCTGAGCATCACCTTGTGCCCCAACAGCTCCAGGGTCTCGCTGGAGCTGAACCCCATAAGTGGCAACACACTGGGTTTGCTCAGTGGGGATTCCCCACACCACGTGTCGCTGCCTAAACCCAGCACGTTCCCTCCCCAGGCTCAGCGCCGTGCAGGAGTGACCCAGCCACCACCTGAGGAGCCAAACCTGGGCCCTGAACCCTCCTGCAAGGAGCTTCCCCCTGATGTGGGATCAGCCCCCCAGCCCCACACTTACCTCCCTGCCAGAGCAGTGTTGGGGAGTGTTGGTATGACCAGGAGCTGGGTATGGTGGGATGGGGGAGCTGGGCACTGTGTGCAGTGAAGGGTTTGGGTCCAGGAAGTGTCCCCAGGGACTCACATAAGTCAGGAACAAGCCCACAAAAGGGGGTGCAGTGCAGTGCTGGTGATGCCCTCAGTTACTGGGAGAACAGTAATTACAAGTGCGGGCTGGGGAGGGTGCAGGAGGCCGGTGGAGGGCCAATCTCTGGGCAGCCTGGGCAGTTCTCACCTTGCAGATACCAGGTCCTACTGAAGCTCTGTTGAGAGCTGGAGATCTCCACACTCTGGGTTGTTTGTAACATGCTTTCAGCCCTCTGACAAAACCCTCCCAAGAAACCCCTTAATCTCCCCAAAGTCCCCAGAGACGCTGTCCCGTTCTCCTTGCAGCGGGAGTGGATGTGGAGAACGACGTCGTGCTCACGGGCATCACTAGGAGGGAGGGCTCGACGTACCAGCTGGAGCTCCAAGAAGCCACTTCTACCATCTCCTCTCGGGCCACCCCTGTGGTCACCAAGGGGCTGATCATCCGGCGTGGGCTGGCGGTGGCTGCAGCCGTCGCTGTGCTCGCGCTCGGCATCGCCGTAAAACTGATGACCAGCAAACACTGACTCACAGCAGGGACCTTGGGGACTTGTTTTTGTGGTGAAAGCCCCTCCTGATGGACAGACGTTAAAAGCACAGACCAGTCAGCAAGAAAATTCAGCACTGGCCTGTCCCGCAGGAGTCAAAGGGACACCGACAGCGTTCGGCAGCGTCTGCTCAGACATTGCTTGGGAACGGGCTCTGAGGCTGCTCCAACACCCAAAATGCTGCTCTAGGCTGCCTGACACACACTGAGTGTGTGGGTGACCCCCTCCAGACCATGCTCAGAGCCAACCGGAGCTGAGCACAGCCCAGCTCACACGGCTGCTCCGTGACAAATGCCCAATAAAGAATAAATCCAGCTGGAGTCAGGCTGGCTCCTTTGGGTGGAGGCTGAGGGGGGTTGGGGTCGGAGCAGAGAACATCCAATGCTGGGGGCTGCACACATGGGTCTTGCCCTGTCCCAGTTGGCCTTCACAGTAGAACAAAGGTTTTATTCAGCCAGGGTCCAGGTCAGCTCTCAGTTACAAGTTTGGAGATAAAAGACTACCCAAAACCCAATAAAACCCTGAAACTGAGTTACAGATGAGGTGGCTGGCTGCTCTGCCACTCTGGCCAAGGACATCCCTGACCTGGCACCCTGGTTGCAGCAAAGCCCCTGTCTTTGCCCCAGCAGCCCCAAAAGCAGTGCAGCAGCAGTGCAGTTGTGGTCCCTGGCACTCCCTGAGTCCTTGGGACAGTGTGGCTGCAGCTCAGAGAGCCTTTGCTGCCACTCAGGCGGCCTTTGCACACCTTACATGGCTATGGGTGATTTCCCTGCAACCCACTTGGTCATGAGTCCCATAAAGGATGGGATGCTGCAGTTCTTCCAGGCTCCTTCCCTCTGATCTGGGGACAAGCAGCCCGGACTGTCCCCTGCAGTGAGACTCACAATTTGCTAGGCTTATTGCTGTAATGAGCCAGCTTCCTATGGGAATCAGGCAGGCATTAAGTAGATAACAGGCTCAGTAACAACTGGCTTTGTTTAGGTACCCTTGTGACAAACACTCCCCCATTCCCAAGAGTTTTTAGATAAGATCCTTTTTACAAAGCAGGGTGGGTGCTGTTTCCTTCCATCTGGCACTCACTGCTCAGGCATGACCCATGGCCTAGGTCTTGATAAATTCACGCTTCAGCAGGAGCTGGAGCCTTCAGCTTGGACTGTCTCTGTTCTAGGTATTTTTTGTTGTCTTCTACCTCTTCAGTGTGTTGGCTGCCTTGGAAGAAATGAAACTGCAGCAGAGAAAAATTCAGTACTAGGACTGCAGGGAGCGAGTGGTGGGTTCCGGGGCTGGAAAGCTGCTGACTGCCCATCACCCCTCTCGTCAGGGGGAGAATATCTGGAAAGGCACAAAAACAGGGATGAGTCCCCCAGGGAGGGAACAGAGCCCGAGGGAACGTGGCTGTGGAGGTTGAGGGCAGATGGGGCTCAGGGGCAGAGCTGGGAGCACACGCTCACAAGGACAGCAGAGACCCGAGGCCCACCTTTGCCATCACTGCTTTCACAGCCCCCAGCAGGGCCGAGAGGAACTGTCCCACTTGGCAGTTGCTACAATGCTTCAGGAGGACGAACTTGGCCACATCCATCCTCTCCTGGCTGACAGGTGGGTACCGCATTTTGTTCAGAACCTCCAGCTTCAGGTCCCTGATCAAGCAGGTGCGGCGGTGGGAGAAGGTCTCGAAGCTGCACCTGCCATGGTAGGCTCCCATCCCGCTGTTACCTGAGGGACACAACCCAGGCAGGTCACACCATGCACAGAGACACCTGCGCTTCTTAAATTCTGTTTGACAGCCCCCAGGACACGGGGAAAGCTTGGTCATGCTGCTTCTCATGCCTGGAGCAGCTGCTCTGCTCCCTCAGGGCACAGAAGCAAAGAGCAGCTTTATTAACTACCCAGAAATAGGTGAGGACCTGAACTGCTGCTCAGGCTGGTTGTGTGCACCTACCCTTGAAAGGTTAATGGCACCAGTTCTCAACTCTCCCCTGATTCTCTCACAGAATTTTCTCAGGGGTTGGTGACAGGAGGAACTGAATCTATGATTTCAAGGAGTGGGACATGAGGAGGACATTCAGCACCCTGAGACCATCAACAACCAGGACCTCAGCTCTCTGCCTACAGCCAGGCTGTCCCTGCTACATGAGCCTGCCCGTGACTGTGGAAACTCAGCCAGCCACTTTGCCCCAGGCAATTTATCCCATGCCCCAGCACAGGAGAACCAGAGCTCACATATGGGCCAGAGGCTTTTCCTCTCTCACTGGGAGGCCTAAAAACCAAAACACTAATGAGCCTTTTTACAAAGAGAAAATAACAGAAAAAAAACCCACAGAAAATAACATTAATGGGCAAAATGCAGCTGAAAGTTCCTGAATTCCCAAAGGGGCACAACAGCACATGGGTCAGAGGATGTTTCTGGGAGACTGAATCCAGGGGCAAGGGCAGGAGCAGGGACTCACCCACACCACCGAAGGGCAGATCCGGAACCACCATGTGCATGAGGACGTCATTGGCTGTCATGCCACCACTGGAGGTCTCTGATATCACCCGTCTGATCAGCTACCCAGAATGGGAGATGGCACAGAACAAAGGAAAATCAAGATGGGACACAGTGCCATGTTCCCAGAGGGTTCAAGCTGGTGCTTCCATCCCACTGCTTTGTGCAGGGCACAGTCTGTGCCTTGTTCCATGGGAGAGGCCAGTTTACATCACCTAAGCACAAGATCTGCCTGGCTGGAATAGCCATGACCTCAAAAGGCTCCATCTCAGCGGGACAGGTCAGAGGCAGAGGTATATCCACCCAGAGCCTGGGGTGCTTCTCAGCCCTCCCACACAAAGCACCTGGGGCTGTTGTGCCAGGACAAAGCCCTGCCCTGAATTCCTGAACTGGCACAACAGAGGCCAGAGCAAGGGCAGGAGACGTGCCAGGAGCCAGCACCCACCCGTGTGGGCAGCCAGCTGAAAAGAGGGGGAGACACGCAAACCCAGAGCCCTTTGGCAGCTCTGGGGAAACTCATGGCCCGTGTGAGCCAAACACTGCAACTCACATAGAAAAGGAACTGACACAGACCCTGCAGGAAGCCGTGTCTGGCACCAGCCAAGTTCAGGATCCAACTGCACAGAGGCACTGCTGCCCAGACCCACCTTCTTGTTGTTGGAGAAGACATACAAGGCAAGGGGCTTCTCCCGACAGTTGATGAACTCAATGGCTTCCTCTACGCTCTTCACGGTCACAATGGGCAGGACGGGTCCAAAGATTTCCTCCTCCATCACCTTGGAATCCGGGGAAACGTCCGTCAGGATGGTCGGTGCTGCAGCAAACGGGAGAACAGGACAACAGTGTCAGCAGGACAGAAGACCTGGTCCATCACAGGACCTCACTGCACTGTCTGTGTGCAACATAACCCAAGCAAGGCACACACACAGACCCCAAAGGGCACCCACTACCACCTCCCCTCCCCAGCAGCAGCCACAAGCACCTATGAAGCAGGAGGCCTCATCACTCTCTCCCCCGTGAGCGATCTTCTGCCCTTCCAGCAAGCCCACGACCCTCTTGAAGTGACGCTTGTTGACGATCCTTTCGTAATCCGGAGACGACTTCACGTCCTCCCCATAGAATTCCTGACAAAGGGCACA